GCCCACTTCTCTTTAATATAATATGGAAGAAATAATACTAGCAGTGCGTAAAGGAGATGGTTACAGAATGGGGAACAAAAAAATCCAAATATTATGTTATGCAGACGACGCCGCATTAATCGTTAAGACAGAAGACGAGCTCCAAAGATTATCACACATCTTTAATACAACAGCCAAGAAATACAATATGATAATATAATACAATATCAGCTTGAAAAAAACCAAATATATGACAACATCTACATACCCACTACGGTGTAAAATCGAAATTGATAAGAAAATAATAAAGCAGGAATCAAGGTTTACATATCTGGAAAGCAAGTAAAGCGGCGGGACCTCTTAATGACACAATTTGGAATAACAAACACCTAAGACAAGACACAAAACAAGAATCTATAAAGTAGCAATTAGACCTATAATAAAATAGCAGAAATAACAGAAAACATAAGAAAAGCATGCAATATAGAAGAAATAAATGGATGGGTGACAAAAGGAAAACAGGAGTGGAAAGAACACATTAATAGGATGGCAAAGCAAGGATAGTACGAATAGCACAAGATATGTTACCAAATGGACAAAGGATAATATTGAAGAAGAAACAGGTTTTAAAGCCTACATACAAGAAGGAAAAAGAAGAAGAACGTTAAATTAAAATAGGTAAAACGTAATTAATATGGATAAATTCCACAAATATTAGCAAAAATAAACAAGTGTTTAAAAAGTCTGAAACGAAACAAGCTACTGAGTATAAGCATACCTTATTGTTTTTTTTTTTGTTCAGTGACATTTTAATATTATCAAAAGTGACTTCCCACTTTGCGTTTAAGTTTCCAATCGGATTTCCCCGCCAAATAAGGATTTATTCAAATCAACCCACTTTTGTTGATCTCAAAATAATTATTCAAAAAGAAATATCAAACTAAGTCACTCTTTTTGTCATATCTGGGCTAAAGAATGGATAAGTTTATGATTCAATGTTTTGGTTGCTTAAAGCGGCAATTATTTGAGCCAACATGGGAAAGTTTGTTTAAGCCAACATGGTTTTGTTTATTGAATTTGATGGTTGAAAGCTTTGATGACGATACTGCCACTCTTGCTCGCCAGTTCTCAACATGTGGTCTGCGTAATCGGTCTTCGTCTTCTTGTTTTTCCTGTCATCTCAACGATCTTCTTGTACTGTTTTCTCATTTTTGGCAGTTGAATTAATTGTTTTGGTACTTTTAGTTTGTTTTATCTTTTCTCATAGTATGGTATCCAATTTTGCCGTAATTTTAAAATAATCGTATAAAATACATCTAGCAGTGCTATAATTTTGTAATGGATACAATCTGCAGGATCACCTTCCGTTATGTGTCATTTCGAATAGTTTATGATCTCTTTCTTAGCCTCGTTAATGACTCCATTGCCTACAACTCTTTTATAGGTAGTGATACTGTTTTGAAACAATTTGTGGCATTTCTGTGATATCTACTAAATATTTCTAATAATATATTTTACTTTTTAACTAAGAAGTTTAGTTCTACTCGGTTTAGTTCTTCACTTATTAAGATAGTTGCTACAAGTGTATTTCCTTTCCCAATTACTATTTGTTTTGGAGATGATTCTTTAGATATTCTTTGGATATCTTTATTGAATTTGAGTTGTTGAGTACTAAAATCAAACATTATTGTTCTTCCTACTGTCATGGTTATTCTTATTCTGTTGTACTTGTTCTGTATACAGAACATCTTCAACAATTCGTTTCTGTTGCCCCTTCTCGTACCTAGTTGTTTCTTTCTTCTATAGTATCGTATACCTTCACCTCTTTAGTGATAGTCAAACTTAGGTATGCGTCAAAATTTTTGATGGTTCTTCCAATGTGAGCTCCTGCCACTTTCTGCTAACACAGTTTCTTCTTCGATTTGTTTATTTACTTGGTATTTTTCAGCAATATCTATTAAGCCAGTCTGGAGATAAATTTCCTTCTTAAAGTGCTGTGTACTTTAGTAGCAGAAAAAAGGAGAATACTACAGTGGAGATGAAAAATTGGTAAACGAAAAAGACACTTGAAAGTAATTAAGAAGGAACTACATTCAGGAATGAATGGATAAAGGTTAAAGAGAGAAAAGATGGAGCTTTTAAAACACGATTTGGTTATTTATGAATATTACTGTGTGAGATTTTACCTCTTAGTTTCAGTTCTTAAAGTTTCTAAATCTTCCTAACACACAAATGGTCGTTATCAGTCGAATTTGATAATTATATAGATTGATTTGGTTTGGTTTTCTCGAAGAACCAGTATTTCTTCCACGAGAAACTTTTACTGAATGTAACCGACATATATCTTCTTATTAAATGATTCATTCATAGGTTTAGATTTAGGTTTACTATAAAAATCATTGAGATGTGTAAAGTATAAAGAATTTAATGCTATTGTATTGTTGGCATCTATAAATTACTCTTATGTTAACCCTTTTTCCAAGCCACACTCATTTTGCTATATTCAACAAATGCTTAAAGTGATTGATACACACAACCAACTAGACAAAATTGCTTTCCACTTCAAAAAAATTATTAATCGACACATAGTTCCTACTGGTATGCTTCTATGAAGCAAAATCTTGGTTTATTATTTACAATTAATTTATTTTATCATCAAGGTACAAGTACTACAGGTAATGAAATAGACAATGGCTGGAAAATGTAAATTTGTAAAGCAAATATGTAGCCACTATAATATTTTTGTTATTCGTTTTATTTTGATTTTCTAGACCGTGTTTCGCAAACTTTCTTACACCAGAGACCTCTTTGACAACAAATTAATTGGCAACCCCTTGTCTAATCTTCCAGATCATTCGCCATTTAATATCATTGCCAAATCAAGGGATGATTTAATAGGCCGACTAAGATCTGGTACAATTTTTCAATAGGCAAAAATGCTTTTACTTGCACCATCCACAAGCAGATTTCCAGATGATGTTGTATTAATCGCAGATAACTTACATGATACAGTTTCTATGATGCATTCGCTTAAAAGTCTGTCTGAAAGAGCAGGATTAAAGATAAACTTTGAGAAAACTAAACTTATAACAAATCTCGTAATGAGTGGAAATATAACTATTGACAATAATACCATACAACAAAAAGATAATTACAAATTACGTATTATGGAATGGAGGCCCAGAAACTATAAAAGAAGCCGAGGACGACCACCGACTAGATGGACTGATGATATAAAACGTGTAGCGGGAAACTGGCTACAAGCGGCCCAGTGTAGAGAACACTGGAAAGAACTGAGGGAGGATTATGTCCAGCAATAGACGCGATTGGCTGATTGATGATCTACAAGCCAGTTACACAATTTTTTTCTTCTTACGTTTTTCTTCCGTATTTAACCGAGAGAAGACGCTATATTAGTGCCTAGATTTTTCTGGAAATGTAAATTCGAATTTATGTGAGCAAAAAAACGTGATTAAATGTTTGGTTATTTGCTGCGTAGAAACAACCTGTTAGTAGCCAACACCTTCTTCAAACAACATCCTAGAAGACTATATATTTGGAAATTATCTATAGACAGAAAAGATAAAATTGTTAGAAATCAAATTGACTTCATTTTCCTCGATAACAACTTCTAAAAGTACATAAAATCTTCTAAGACATATCCTGGAGCTGACATTCATAGCGATCACAATCCAGTTATAATTAATTTTAAACTAAAAAGTTATGTTAAAGTTAAAAGGGAAAAAATGTCAAGAAAAACAGACATCTCACAACTGAAGAACTCTGAAAAGAAATAGGCAAAAAGCATCAAGGTTAAGAAAGAAATAGAAACGCTACAGAACTTGGTGCATACAGACGTTGAAGTAACATGGACTGCTCTAAAAACGAAAATAACAAAGATACAAGAAGACGACATCGGGTTCACGAAAAACAACAGAAAACAAAAATGGATAACGCATGAATCTCTTGTACGTAAAACGAAAACATAAAACAAACCCGATAGAATACAAACGAGTCAATAAAATTATTAGAAAAAATGCAGGCAAGCTAAAGAAAACTGGATGTCAACCAAATGCCTAGAAATTGAACAACTTTATGAACCATACGAAACCTTCAATGTCCATAAAAAGGTGAAAGTAATGACAGGCAGACACAGAAAGAGACAAGAAACAATATTAAGAAATAACAACAACGAGATAATTATAGATACAGAAGACAAACTGGAAAGATGGAAAGAATACATTCAGACACTTTTTGACGATGATAGACCTTGTTCTTCACCATCCACAGATGATCAAATAAATAAAAAAGGTCCAAAAATAACAAAAGAAGAAGATATTAATTCAGTAAAAGCTCAGAAGAACGGAAAAGCCACCGGTCCAGATAATATTAATATCGAAATACTTAAATTAATTGCAGACAACAAAAGTAAAAGCCTTGAGTCCTACGTAGAATGGGCAAGGAATGCGAGATAATTAACACAATCAAAGAGCGCCAATTAGAATATCTTGGCCATGTTATGAGAAATGAACCCAGATATGGCTTATTGCAACTCATTCTTCAGGGCAATGTATTTGGAAAGAGAGCAGAAGGATATCTTGGCTTCAAAACCTAAGGAAGTGGTTCAATACGTCAGCAACTCGACTATTCCGAATATCTGCAAGTACAGTTAGGAGAGCTATGCTGATTGGCAACATCCGAAACGATAGGCACCGTAAGAAGAAGAAAAAAATGCCAAAACCATTGGAATAAAGAAGAACAAGAGTAATTAGTGTTAGTGCAGATACAGAAAATGGCAGGGATTAACGTAACTCCATGATGACCACATATTTGTCCAAAATTGCAAAAATTCTGTAAATTGAATCTGCTTTAAATCATCCAAGACAAATAATTTTATAATTACTTCGGTTTTTTATATTGTAATTTACAATTTTCATCTTTAAGTTGTTCCTGTCATTATTAAAGTACTTATACCTTGACTTTAAGTAACAAAATACATAACATCTACATCACTATCACCATTACTTTTCGGTCATGACTAAATTCTTCGGGCAATCATCCTCACTAATAATTGCCTTCTTTTTCAAAATCCCCAAATCAGTCACGTTCTCTAAAAAACTCTTGTGCGCACTCAACAGTTTCGCACTCTCCACATCCTTCTTCAGCTCCTCCATGTCTCGCTTGAGCTTCGCCCGTCGATTCTGGAACCACGTGATGACTTGGGCGTTGGTCAAGCCCAAACTGGACGCGATTTCGTCGCGGTCGGCAGGACTGAGGTATTTTTGGTAGAGGAAACGTTTTTCTAGCTCGAAGATTTGGTGATTGGTGAACGCCGTGCGGGATTTCCGCTTTTTCTTTGGTTGTTGCCGGTTGTTGAAGAGGTTGAGGTGGTTCTGGCCATCTGAAATCAAAAAGATAATAGTTTAGACTCTCATAAATTATGAAGTAAGTTTAAGATGATCAATAATATTGAAATTTCATTAAAAGTTTATGATCATTTGGTAATTTGAATGTTGTATATTACCAAATCTCAAGCAGTAATTTCTCATAAGCTCAAGATGTATTTCATAGTGACATAGAGTAAGTTATTGATCAATAGGAGCATTCACATACATCAATCTCCAACTCAATCTCAACCCAAAGACTCGACCTTATCATACGAAAGCTTTTCTTCCTTATATCAAAGGTGTCACTGACAAAATCGACAGAATTCTGAAACCAAGAGGAATAAAAACAATATTTACTCCCCAACAAAAACTTTCATCTTATGTCCGATCAATCAAAGACAATATTCCAAATGAACAGCACGGAGTTTATGAAATTCCTTGTGCAGACTGTCCCCGATCCTATATAGGCCAAACAAATCGTAGAATCCAAAATAGGATTTATGAACATTCCATTTCTGTTCGCAATTCTGATTCAATTTCAGCTCTCGGTCAACACCATCTTCATACAGGTCACAAAATTGATTTTGAAAACTCCAGAACCATAGTCCCCATCCGCTTCTATAAACCAAGAATTATCCGAGAAGCCATAGAAATAGAAAAAAGACCAAATTATCTTAATAAAAGAGATGACGCCATACGGTTACCTTCTACATGGAGACCTCTCATAAAGAAAATATCGCCCCCTCCATCCTCGAATCAAAATCCCACTGTCAGAAATGTTCGCGCCAACTCTCGCGCCAGCCCCCGCGCCATTCCACCCTCTACCCCCACAGCCCACCTAGGCTACGCCACCATCGACGGTATAAATGAACCGTCCCCTGTTCCCAGCCGTAGTAGTGACAGTGGAGTGATCAGTGACCAGTGTAGTAGTGTTTGGGGGCTCGGGAGACTGAGACCTCGGAAGCCCTGAGGAAGACATCAGAGAGGATGTCGAAAGCTCGGCCCAATGAATATCGACGCGGTTCAACCCGGAAGACTGGTGTGTTTAATATTAATTTTTGTAATAGTATTAATCTTAGCTCTAGGTTTCATTGTACTAACCGCGGTACTAACAAAAAATTATTTGAACATACTAAGAATATTACAGTAGATATTTCTCAACTGTCTCGTGTCTGCCTTGTAATTTGCTGCATATTTTTCTTTATCAATATGACACATTTCTAAAAACAATCTTTTTTTGTAATTGTTCTCTTGCTGTAGAACCCTAACATTTGAGTAGTCAAATTGATGCCCAATTTTTAAGTAATGGTCAACTGCTGCACATGTATTCTTCTTCTTTGTGCAGTCACTTTTGTGTTGTGTGACCCTTTGTTTTAGCCATTGAGAAGTTTGGCCAACATAACTTTACTTTTATCTTTTACTTTAGAAAACAGTTGTCGGTTTTCTAATAAATTATAATGGACAATTTTAATGTTAGTGAATTGTTTAAATAAACTAGTCACAGAAGGTGTTAACTGTTTTATTAATGGTAGTTTTTTTATATTGGATTGTTTGTATTGCTCCGATATCAGTGAGGAAAAAACAAAATAATTCAGATAAGTAGTATAATAAACAACAAACATTTCGAAGAAGGAGAGTCTTTTAATTTTGGATTACCTGTATTGAACAAAAAGTAAGATATGCATAAATTATTTTCTTTGTTAAAATATATTTGAGTGACCTGCATAAGCTTAAGTGAAATCCTAGACAATGGAAGCGGTTTTTCCAAATAAATGTTGTGCAGTAATTAGGACAATATAATAGATTTTAGAAAGATATGTTTTTGTTAGTTCTTAAGAATTGGTAGGAAAAGATTATTTTGTAAATAAGTTTTAGGAATTATAATTGTAGTAAACATTGTTTGTGTTATCGAAATGAAGAAATGGGAGATGTATGACGTGTTTTGATTGGATGAGAGTGAAAAAGGTGGGATGGTTGGTTTGAGAATGAGACTTTAGTTAGTTTTGGAAGAAAAAAAGATAGTCAGTTGGTTTTCCAAGTGTGCAAGGCAACAGTCCGTGTTCTCGGGTAGTTTCCCAGAGGTAGGAAGCAGTAGCAGTGAAAGTTTGTGAGTTTTCGTGTAGTTAGTGTATCTGACAGAAGCTGATTCAGTAAATGATTGTAAGTCATATTTTTCTACTTATATTCAAGAGTCACAGTTCAGGCTAACGAGAGATTCAGTTTATCGTAAAGAGAAGATATTCCAAGAGTCATTTTTCACTCAGGCCAACGAGAGATTCAGTTTATCGAGAGGAGAAGAGGCTAGCATAATTTGAACGATTCGTGCATTTGAAGGAGATCATTAAGGACGATAAACTTGCAACAATTTGTTGTAAGATTGCTGATTACCTAGGGAGCTGCTAAGAATAGATAGTATAGGCTACAAGGAACAAGGATTTGGACCACTCATCATCAGAGAGAGATAGTTTTGTTTTTCTGCAGTTTTTCTTTTATTGATAACACAATTTTTACACTTACTTTAGAAAAGATATAAATATTTTGATTAGGAGATTTAGAATAATAATTGGGATTTTGAGATTTTAACTAATATTGTTTGTACCATTAATTTTGAAGGTTCACGTACGTAGAACAAAATTTTGAGAATCATTATATGAGATATTGTTTATTGAAAACATTTGAGTGTGAATTTTATTTCATTATTTTTATTTCAATATATAAGTGTTATATCATATATGTGTTTTTTATTATTCCGGTATTCTTTGGACCTTACCTTTCACATGTAATGCATAGATATTGAAGACACGAATATAACCCTAAGATAAGAGAATTAAAAATGTCATATCATTTAAATATTTTTAATTAATTAATTAATTAATTAACTAATTAATTGCTTGGCGTACTAAGACTTTGAATATCACAATAATATATATATATATATATATATAAATATATATTATATATATATATACTATATATATATATATTATATATATATATATATATTATATATATATATATATATTTGTGTGTGTATGTAATAGAAATTTTTGTCGTTTTATATAAATCCACACATCCCAAGTTTTTTAAAGACCATTTATCTCGACTGTGGAAGCGCAAAGGCCACTCCATCGTGCCATAACTATCAAAAGCACAAAGGACAAAGGCTGGTAAGTAGAAAGAGACAACGGCAGGGCTGCTAACAATAATTCTACGGGGGTTGACAGTCTTGTAATAAATACGGTTTCGCCCGACAGTCGCTATTTTCCAGCCGATTTAGTCCTGATGAGAAAATGAGAATTCCTAGTGATCACGGGCGCGAGAAAACTCTCGGTGACGTCATAAATCCTCCGGCGGTGTGTACATTCAGGACATTAACTTGAGGCTCAGATTGAAAAGCTTTAGGCCCTTTTATTTATTTTGACAGAGATGGCTCGAGATTTCCGGAAAGACGATCAATTTGGTTTTCTTCACTTTTCTTGTACGATTTTTATTTACTGATTTTTTATAAGAGCACGATATAATGTAATACATATTTTATAAACGAAACATTGAAAACCAAGAACAATATGCACACAAAAAATCACAAAACTTTTTTACGAGCATAAGCAATGAATTCGAAAAGAAAAGATTGCTAACTCATATACTTCTGTGCAAAACATGGACAGAGTTGATAGGAAACCAAAACAGCGCTAAACTGATGAAAAGAGCCGTTTGATTAACTTCTAAATAAAGGACGAATAAGACTATGATAATATAAATACATAGACAGGAAATTTATGGCATGAAAACATGTAACCCCTTCTCATCAAGCATTTTTAGATGGACTATCTACGGGAATAAAATCGCCCCAGGGTACAGGAAAGTACCAATAATATTTATATAATCAGGTGGCTTGAATATTTTCCACTTCTTATCAGAACAGCGATACTTTCCAGTTTCCTAATGAATATTTAGTTTTAGATATGAGAATAAGGCTTTAACTTTCTGTTAATAAGTAGTTACGACATTGGTACTCCAACTACATCTTTAGTGCAGTGGTAAAGGTTGAACTTAGATATAAGACATTATGAAATCAAACATCTCATCAAGCCTTTCCATTAACTTCTAGTTTCAAATTGGTTTTGTATGTATTGAGGAGTTGTTGTTTCTATTTCCTAATAAGTCTCATCCGTGGTAGATGTATTTCTATTATTTTTTCCTGCAACAGTTTTCCTATAGCGGCTAGTTGGTTGAGTGATAATTGTGCAACACGTGATTATTGATTTTTTTCTGCAGCTCTTTAAATACAGAACATCCCTTCTAGGTAGCAGGATAATTTTGCAGGCAATTTAAACATTCAACATATATTTTATATTTTGGACATTAATACGCCAGGTGATCGTCCAGCATTTTACACAAAATGTTAGGATGATAGTTCCTTCTTCGAATACCGCGGCTCATTTTGACAAGAGAGTTGAGTAAATTCAAAATCAATATCTGCTGATTACCATGAAAACATGAATGCAGATATGTTCATTAAATGGCTTGAGTTATAAATGTTAGATAATGCACCTTACTATTCGAAGATTTTGGAGAAACAATCAAAACAGTCGTTGTACGTATCGATTTCTCATTATTTCTATTCTTCATTGGTGACTTTGTCTGTCCATGGTATCTTCAAGATCCTTCTGTATGACCATAGCTCAAAAGCCTGAAGTTCTGATATTACATATTACATCTGAATACATATTAAAATAGTAAAGGGGAAAGCACACTATCCTTATCTTACTCCACGATTGATAGGTATTTCTTTCGATTTTTGTTGGTCCGCTCATATTATGGCTTTCTGATATCGGTATAGATTGACATTGATTCTCACGTTTTCGTCATCTAATTCTGTGTTCTGCAGTATTTTTGCCATTCTTCGGTGGTGTACTTTGTCGAAAGCTTTTTCGAAGTCGACTAGACATATGAATACGTTGCAATTAACATCTCGACATCGTTTGATTAGTATTTGTACAGTAAATATCTTCCC